TTTTGAGTTAATTTTGTATCCGGCCACTTTGCTGAAGGTGTTAATCACCTGTAGGAGTTCCCTGGTAGAATTTTTGGGGTCACTCAGGTATACTATCATATCATCTGCAAATAGTGATACTTTGACTTCTTCCTTTCCAATTTGTATCCCCCTGATCTCCTTCAATTGTCTTATTGTTCTAGCAAGGACTTCCAGCACTATGTTGAAGAGATATGGAGAGAGTAGGCAGCCTTGTCTTGTCCCTGATTTCAGTGGGATTGATTTAAGTTTCTCTCCATTGAGTTTGATATTAGCTATAGGCTTGCTGTATACTGCCCTTACTATGTTCAGGTATGTGCCTTGTATTCCTGATCTCTCTAAGATTTTAAACATGAATGGATGTTGGATTTTGTCAAATGCCTTTTCAGCATCTAAGGAGATGATCATGTGGTTTTTCTCCTTCAGTTTGTTTATGTGGTGGATCACATTGATGGATTTCCATATATTGAACCACCCTTGCATGCCTGGGATGAAGCCTACTTGGTCGTAGTGGATGATATCTTTGATGTGTTCTTGGATTTTGTTTGCAAGTATTTTGTCGAGTATTTTTGCATCGATGTTCATGAGGGAGATTGGCCTGAAATCCTCTTTCTTTGTTGGGTCTTTGTGAGGTTTAGGTACCAAGGAGACTGTGGCTTCATAGAATGAGTTTGGTAGTGTTCCTTCTGTTTCTATTTTGTGGAATAGTTTGAAGAGTATTGGTGTTAGCTCTTCTTTGAAGGTCTGGTAGAATTCTGCGCTGAAACCATCTGGCCCTGGGCTTTTTTTGCATGGGAGACTTTTGATGACAGCTTCTATTTAATTGATTTACCTGGTCTTGATTCGGCTTTGGCATGTGGAATTGGTCAATAAAATTGTCCATTTCATTTAGATTTTCAAATTTTGTGGCATATAGACTTAGGAAGTCTATTAGGAAGTACGACCTAATTATTGTTTGGATTTCTTCAGTGTCTGTGGTTATGTCCCCCTTTTTGTTTCTGATTTTGTTGATTTGGATAGTTTCTCTCTGCCTTTTAGTTAGTTTGGCTAAGGGTTTGTCTACCTTGTTGATTTTCTCAAAGAACCAGCTCTTGGTTTCATTGATTCTTTGAATTGTTTTATTTGTTTCTAATTTATTGATTTCAGCCCTGAGTTTGATTATTTCCAGCCATCTACTCCTCTTTGGTGTGTCTGCTTCTTTTTTTTCTAGGGCTTTTAAGTGAACCATTAAGTTGCTTGCATGAGATATTTCAAATTTCTTCTTGAAGGCACTTAGTGCTATGAACTTTCCTCTTAGCGCTGCTTTCATTGTTGGGTATGTTGTGCCTTCATTTTCATTGAATTCTAGGAAGTCTTTAATTTCTTTCTTTATTTCTTCTCTGACCCAGCTGTCATTTAGTAACAAGTTGTTTTTTTTATAACTTGCTTCAGATTTTTTTCCACAGTCATGAAGGCATTTTCCAAGTTTTCTTCTACATGATTTATTTTTTCATTGTTTTGCATTTAGATCTATAATCTACCTAAAGTCTGACAACATATGACACTATTAAGATTAATTTTTCTGCATATATATGTGTGTGTGAAAGAGAGCCATCATTATTTAATAACAGTGTTATCCTCTACATGCTGCATTAAAATATTTATTATGAGCGAAGTGATTGGTGGGAAATTTCTGGATTTTTCATACACCCTGGTACATTTGTGTCTTTCTTTTTTTTTTCTGTAACCTCTACAAATATGGCAGTCCAAATAGTAGCTTTATAATATCTTGACAGTGTTTTTTTTAATCAAGAATACATTCATTACATTCATCTACATGTTAGAATCAACTTATTATTTCTAACACAAATCATTACTCTCTCGATTGAGGAAACACTGGAGCTATAAATCAACATGGAAATTTTGAGTTCTTTGTCAAAGCAATTCTTTCTGTGGTCATGACTCATCTTTAAATTCATATAAATCTTTTAATTTCATACATTATGGGTTTTTAGGGTAAAGGTTTCTCATACTTGTTAAGGGTAAGCTCTTTTGATGGTATTATAAATACTACTATTAAAATGTATTTTTTGTCTTCACTGTGACATACAAATCCACATGATTTTTGTATGTTTACCTCTTCTAGAAATGTTGGTAAATTTTCTTACTAATCTCAGTATGCTGTCTGCAGATGTTTTTAGACTTCCTACATGAAGGATTTTGTTTTGTGGCTAGTTTTGATGGTGTAGGCCTTTCATCTCCAGAGGTAGGTAGAGGTAGGTAGTTTATGAGAGTTCCAGGCAAGTATGGCCTACATACAGAGTTCCAGGACAGCTAGTGCTACACAGTGAGAGTCTACCTCAAACAAAAAAAAAAAAAAAAAAAAAACTACAAAACAAAACAACTGTTTCAGCAAGAGAGAAATAATGCCGGGTACTGGATACCTAGCTAACTACCAAGGTCTAGAGAAGTAATGGATCTTGGAGGACCTACAACCATCACTTAACTAAAGCAACATAAACCCTAGCTACACTTTAAATATTTGTCCTTATACCCACCAATAAATGTAGTCCTCAACCCTTATCGAGGAAACTTCTCTTTGCAACAAAGATGTTATAGAAACAACAACCAAGCAAAATTCAGAGTTGTGGAACCCAGTCCCAAATGGCCTCTATTCCGTGACATTTGCCTGTTATCTCAACAATCAACAGTAACAACTCAGCAGAAGGATCATAGACTCTAGGTTAGATTCAGCTCACAGTGAGGCCTGCCTCACACCTGCCTTAACCACAAAACAGAAAAACTTTGACATCATCAATGCGGAAAGGCTGTGTCTCTAATCCATTTTGTTTTGTTTGTTTGTTTTGAGACAGGATCTTGTATAGCCAGGTTAAGTGCAGAGTTTACTATGCAAGAGAGGAAATCTTAAACTGATCCTCTTGCGCCCGGCCTCTGAGTGCTGGGATTAAAGGTCTCTGCAACTCTGGCAAGTTCTAGTGTTTATAATGACCTTTTCAAATTTTGTTATTAAAGTTGTTCTTGTTTTATAAGATGAGTTATAAACTAACTCTGTCAATTCTCTGGAGGATGGGTCTAGAATTTTCTTTGTGAGGAGTTTATTTTTGTTTTGTTTTAACAGCAGAGTAAACATTAAAAGTAGATACAAGATTGTTAATAGTTTCTATTTTATTGTATCAGTTTTGATATGCCATATTTCTCAAGATATTCATCAATTTAAAATTATTGGTTGTTTTTTTTTTTCATGTAAAGGCTAAAAGCTTATGGAGTAAGTGGAAAAGGAAGATGTGTGCTGAAAAGAAAAAAAAATGTCCCAAATGAGCTCAGAGACTTAAAAGTTGACAGTGATGCTTTAATGAAAGAAATAGCAACGGTGGTACCCAAACATTGCCAGAAGAAAATGCAGTGTGTGGCAGATGATGAAAAGATGACGGTGAAAATAGAGACTGAAATTAGTAGACTTAATTACGAGACTTAGGAAATTAAGAGAGTTAATTAAAAGACTCTTCTAGACCAGCATGGCCAGTACCCAGTGTGGATGTAGCACTGGCAGAGAAAAAGGCTGAAAAAAGCCTTTTCTTTCTTCAGAGAGAAAAAAGTTGGGGAAAAGCAGAGCCAAGGCAGTGAAGGGCTGGCCTGGTAGACCCTTAAAAACTGGAGATTATGACATGCAACATCAGTTCAGTTCTTCACAGATGTCAGCTCTTACTACACAGAAGCTGTTTGTTTTCATATTTTAGTTTGGACTTAATTCTGTAATTCAAAACCAAAATAACTCATTTGTGTTGGAAACTTAAATAAAATATCTTCTGTGATGAAAGAAAAATAAATAAATAAAATTATTGTAATGCTTATCAATATTAAACAGTTTTGATATTTTATGAGGTTGACAAGATCATTAATAATGTCCCTTCTCATTTCTGAGGTTGTTATGTATCGTTCATTTTTTCTGGATTTGTTATGCTAGAGGGTTTCTCTTTGCAAACAGTCAATTTGTGACATTGTTGATTTTGTTTACAGTGTGGACGTCCTACTTCTTTGAAGTCCTGTCCTTTTTATTATTTCTTTCTTTCCTTTGGGCTTGGTTTATGCCTTTTTATTAATATCTTGTTTTTTGTAGTTTTTGTTACTCAAAACAGCTTAGATCATTGGTTTTTCTGATTTATGCATTTCAGGCTATGATTGTGTCTTTAAGGACTTGCTGTGGGAACTAGCAGGGAAGTGAAAAGTTGTACACCTACCTCCAAGTGAACCTCAGTCCCTTCCCTGTTTTTCAGAGTTATTACAATTATCATTTGGAATACAGCCTTCTAAATGGTTTATTTATTCTGTAGCATGTACAAATAATATGTTTACCTGTACACATATAACTCCAACAGAAAGTTTGCTTCATCTATATAATTTTACATAAAAAGCTTTTTTTTTTCCCTGATAAGATGTTACTGAAACTTTTTTCTTTTTTAATTTTGAGACATGGTTTCACTATGTAGCTCTGGCTGGCCTGAAACTCTCTATGTAGGCCAGGCTGGGCTCAAACTTGGAGCGTCATTTGCTACAGCCTTCCAAGTACTGGGATTAAAGGTGTGTACTATCACATTGGGTTTTGGTTAAGCTTTTTTTGTTTTTGTTTTTGTTTTTTGAGACAGGGTTTATTTTGTAGCCTTGGCTGTCCTGGACTTCCTTTGTAGACTGAGCCGGCTTTTAACTCATAGAAATCTGCATGTCTCTGCCTCCTGAGTGCTAGGAGTAAAGGCATGTGCCTAGCTACTTAAACTTTTTTTTTTTTTAATTTTTAGTGATTTATTTTTATTTTATGAGCATTGGTGTTTTGCCTGCATATTTGTCTGTGTGATCCTCTGAAACTAGAGTTACAGATAGTTGTGAGCTGTCACATGGGTGCTGGGATGTGAACCTAGGCCTTCTAGAAGAGCAGCCAGTGCTCTTAACCACTGAGCCATCTCTCCAGCCCATTTACACATACTCTAAGGAGACTTATCCTAAAAAAATTAATTAAGGCTATTAATACATTCACTTTGCTTTATATTATTTGATGAGCAGCTCAGTAGAGCACTCAAACACCACACAATTCATAAGAGTTCAGAAAGATTTGCTCTGGGTTTAATGGGAGGAGGGAGGCTCACATAACACTTCCATACACTTTTATCAGTTAGTAATATATCCCATGCTCAATGTTTTTTGAAAGGATACTGATGAAGACTGAGGTCTACTGACCAATAGCATCATTCTAGAACTAGAATAAAGCTCACCAGGATGGGGCAGCCTCTATTTTAGGCCTAGGCCTAAATACTTGCATAAAGTATCCAGATAGGACCAGGACTCCCCTGGTTCTCTGATTCCCAGAAATCAGGGACCTTAAGAGACCACTGGTCACAAGGAATTGAAGGAGAGGCTCCTAGACTTCAGGCTTTTGTCACCTGGATTCTTCTCTATGTTGGTTCCTGCCTCCTACCTTCCTGTTTCACTAATGGAGCCCCAGCTTGCTCACTGGATTGCACTTATTTTTTTTTCTTTCAAGATGGCAGTCTGCTCTCAGCCCTTCAGTGCTCAGGGACTGCTGATGCAGCCCTGACACCAATCATTGTGCCATGACCCTTGTTTCCTGAAGGAAGTCTCACCATGTCCTCTAGGGCTCAACATGCTGAAAAGACTGATCACTGACCCATCTTGGGTGGAAAGGATTGCTCCCTTACCCTAGAAGCAACCTTGTCTACATCTTCCCAAGGCAGATCTGAAAGTGTGCTCTTGAGACCTCTGAACCATATCCTGCTACTCCTGTGCCTAGTCCCTGGGCAAGAGAACAAAGATGGAGACATTGTACTCACAGAGACTTGGTCAGCTCCGATTATTCCTGTGAGGCTCCCGGTACCATACTGGATGGAGAAATAATTCCCTACCTCCATGTATGTGCTGGACTGGGATGGGTGGAACACTGGGTGTGACTCTGGAAAACAAGAATGCTGCTTACATCTCCCATTCCTGCCCCAGAGGGCAGAGTGGCTTCCCTCAGCTCCCTATAAGAAGTGGGAGATGGGGATTCCTGGAAAGGCCATAGCCTTTTACAAGTGAGCTACTGTGTTCCCTCTAGACACAGGTGTGTCCTAACCAAGGACCAAATATTTGTCCCTGGGCAAACCTGGTTACTCACAGTGACTTCACAGACACAAGATAAGCACCGTTTACCAGGTGCCAGCAGCAATCTCAGCCATCAGTGTAGGCCAGATAGAGCCTGGGCTTCAAAGGAAACTCAGAGGTGAACAATCACCATTACTCGTAACTTTTCACAGAACTTTGAAGATGTCTAGTTCCACGATTTCAAAGAGCTTCTCTCCTTGGGATGTGTCTCCACACAGAACAAGATTTCTCTGTTTAGGGCGTCTGTTTCCAGTCTCTATTGCAATCCCTACTTTACTTCTGGCTGAATGGACAACCCATGGCCACTGTGCCCACCAGCCACCCTCCATGGCAACCAGGGCATCAAGGCCTCCTTGAAGCAGGTGCACAGTCTTCCTTAGCACTCAGCCTACCTACCTGTTCAGGAACTTTCTCCCACATTCCTTTGGGTGTTCCAAAGGAAGTGAGTCATTAAGTCAAAGATTTCTCTTCCTAGTGGTTAATTTTCTCTCCATTAATTCTGACTATCATGAAAATTGTTATCTCGACTAATAGTTACTTTTCAGCTCTGTCCCTGGCCCAGAGATAAGAAGTGGAAGCTGGTATGGCAGGGAGCACCAGTGGAGGGAACCTAAGTCTCCTCGCCCCCACAAGTACCATTGAAAGTGGCTCCCACCATTGCCGGATCCACTTACTGCATGCAGGACTGGTGCAGTACACAGAAGGGACCCAGAGGTTGGAGGAGCCAGTGTCAAAGATGACAGTGAAGTTCTGTGGTGGGGAGCCAATGGAGATAGTCCCGAAGTATTCCATCTGCAGGGAAGGGGGAGAAAGAATTAAAGTATGGGAGGAAGGGAGTAGAGGGAGTTGCATGCCTGCAACTAGAGCATAGAGTACCATAGATTACAACCTACAGAGCCTAGAAGAGGCAAGGCTGGGGACAAAGGATGAAGGAACAGAACAAAGACCACCAGGGAGGAAACTGAGGATAGCCTGGGAAACTTGGCTCTATTCTTCTCTCATTAGCTTGATTCTCATGATGTCATTGTAAGCAAGGCAAGGAAGACAGGAATGCCTCTATTTTAGAGATTGGGGAACTGGGGTTGTAGGAAATCAAATACTTTCTTTGCCCAAAGACATAGCTAGTAAAATGCCTAGCTGAGCACACAATAAGGGCTGTTCCCTTCAGAGCACATGTCATCCTTATCTCTTTCCTCTTGAAGAAAACCCCGTGCCCTGAATCACACTGAATCCTGCTCTACAGAGTTTTAAAAAAACTAAGGGATTATCCATGTGAATCACCCAAGCGTGAAATCCATGCCCGAGCACCTGATGTCCCCTGTCTCTGCTGGAGGCCCAGCGTTTTTCTCCCTCCACCCAGTGCCCCCGGGCTTCAACCCAAGAAGTCTTACATCCAGGTAATTGATGAGGGGCTCGTTGGTGCTCTGATCCATTTCACAGGACTCACTGAATTGGATCATGTCCAAGTTCTGGGATTTCCAGAAGTCTGAGAGTTGGCCTTGAGCCCGTAGTTTCTTCCGGAGGGACTGATGCCTTCTGAGGGGCACCCTGGAAAAAAGCCCAATGTGAAGAGGCCAACTCTGCTTCCCCACCCTTATTTCCACTTATCAGTTTAGAGACTGACTACAGAAAGACCTAGAAAGGGACCTGGTTGTCTATGGAACCAGAATCTGAGTAGAAATTGTTTTCCCTTCCTGGACACTGGCCCTTGGAATGAGAGATAGGACCGGGGTCCTATCTGACCCCAGAAAGGGCTGACTTAAAGGGATGTAAGGACTCTGTGGATACCAGTGCTCAGGGCCCCTTTGGAACATATTTGAAGGTTTGGGGTTATGAACCACAGCTATTGGCATGATTTTGAGCAACAGAGTGAGCCCCTTGAACTGAGGCATATGCCTCTACATGAAGGAGAGGCCTGGGACCAACTGGGAAACATTCGTTAGGGATTCCCATGAGACCCCGGCTTCTTCTTTTCACTTTCTCATTAGCTTTCATCCCCCAGGGCAGCCTTGAGTTGTTGTTGGGGGATCCCTATGTTGAACTCAGTGCTGGAGACAGGGTCTTACCTGTGTAGAACTCCTTGGGACTCAGCCAGTTCCAGGAGCACAAGCAGTAGCACTAGGATGGGTTTCATTGTGGTCCAACCAGCAGCTGCTCTTTCACTCTGCTTCGACCTGTCTTCCACCTTCCTTCCTTCTTGTGTACAAGGCAGGGGCACCTGCTCTTCCTGGTGCCCAGATCTGCCCTGCCCAGTCTGAGGACCCAATGATAAGGTTTGGAGTCAATAGCCATGCCCAGAGTAAACAGTACGCGTAATAGGACGTCCCTTCTCTGCTCCTACGTCTAGTTCTTCTGTTTGTGGAGCTAAGGGCAAAATGTGTGCGTGTGTGTGCACGTGTGTGTGTGTTTCTGTGTGTGTGTGTGTGTGTGTGTGTGTATCCTCTGAAAATGAGGGGTTGTGTAGTCTCAGCTTCTCCCAGGGTCTTTGAACACATACTACTGGCTTCAAGAAACCCCATGTGGGTTTGTCTAAGGGAGCAAAGTGCCCCTGAATGAGGGTCCCACCCTGTTGAACTGCTACTATGAGTGTTCAAGTTGAGGGCCTCGGAAGGGCAGAAGCTGAAATGCTGTATGTGTAGCAGGATTCTAACTCAAAACATTAGCCAGGCTTTTGTCCCCATATTTTGTATTCTGTCTTCGTTCCCTCAGAGGCTTCCAAAGCAGTTTGTTCTACTCAAAGCCAGGCTAGTACTCCCCAAAGGCCGTGAAATGAGAGCATTTGGCTGTTGGTTTGTGGGGTGAGCGTTCTTCAATCTAAACTTGATGGATCTGGCCCTGCAGTCTGTATAGAAGGGATTGTGGAAGCCCTATGGAGGGGCAGGGTCTGGAGCAGGCCTGTGTTGGTACAGGACAGCCATAACAACCAGTGGCTTAAGCAACATTTATTTTCTCCTGATCCTGGAGACTGGACATTTTCTTACCATCAATCCCCACCTGTGACTCTCCTGACTTAAGAGAGGTGGAGGGTGACAGAAGGGAAAACCTTCTTAACTGGACTCCAGTTGATAACCTCTGAGCTGGGACAGAAAAGGCCAGTACCTCCAGGCAGCACTGGTTATAATGTATTAGGCTTCCTGGGTTAGGGTTAGCCCTGCTCTTACCAATACTGTTCTTGCCAGGGCCTTGCCTTTTCTCTCTGAAGCCCAGGAGAGGGCAAAAATTCAGTCTGAAGCTCTGCCTGAGATCCCAAATGTTGAACAGAATATCCAAAAGTAGGAGGAAAACACAAAAACAACTTTCCATTGATTTCAAAGCAACCATCCCTCTCTAGCATTTGCTCATTTCCTGGGAGCTAGAACCAGTCTGTTCCCTGAAGAGCAGCATGCTGCAGGAGCGCTGGGAGTCCGGGTCGCTCCTCCACAGCTAAGCTCTGTCATGACTGCCAAGAGACCTCCAGACACCTCAATGTCATCACCTGCATTCTTAGGAAGGATAAGTGCACAAAACAAGATACATGCATTGAAGTACTGTGCACAAAGCAAGATACATGGAAGTACACCTTACTACATCCATGGGCATGGTATCATCACTGAAAAACCTTGTTCTGAGAGATTTATTCCAGGTCCTCAAAGCCAATTCACTTTCAGATGAGAATATGGTCCCAGAGAGGTGAAGTGGTTGCCAAGGGCACAGTTCGTTAGGATAGGGCTAGAGTGACCGAGGTCTCTTAACTGCTGGTCTAGGGCTCTTGCTGCATGCTATCACTGAGCTATTGATGACAGCAGATCTGATCCCTCCCTCCTTCTCCATCTCCAGACCTTTACACATCCGTTTATCAATTGTAGAGAGTTAGGTTAGCCCATGTTTAAATGAGACCTGGGCAACTATGGGTTACTTGACCTCAAGGAAGAAGACTCAGCCTGCCTGCCTGTTAAGGGGTCTTCTGAGTTTGGGAAAGTCTGACAAGAATTGGGAGGACGTTTGGGAGGACATGCCTGTGAGGACGTTTGTTGGAGCTGATAGGCTCTTTCTTTTCTGGAAACACCAGGAACCTCACCTATTGCGGCTGTAGCTCCCTGGATTCTCCCAGACTGAAATGGAAAATTACTGTGGACCATTGCTATAGATAGTGTGAGCCGTTGGCCTATGGGTGGCTATGTGGGTGTGACCTCTGGGAAATGGCAAAGGGAAGAACATTGGATTGAAAGAGTGGCATGAGAGCAAAGAATACAATGTAGGCAGAAATCCAGTTTCTAGGCACTTGCAAAGGGGCCACAAGAAGAGGGCTCTTCAGGAATGGCTGGCTGGCTGCACGGGTTTGACACTTCCCTGAATATGGGGAGGCTTCGGTAGTGTCCTAGCTAGCTTCTTTTCCTACAGCTTCTGTTGTAGAAGATAAAATAACGACAGGGGACAGCTGTGCAGTGCTGTGTGGGAGTCAGCTGGTGTAAGGACAAAGGTATACACTAGTGTGGGGTAAGAGCTGGCTGTTGATGGCAAGGAGCTACACTCCAGGATACTGTCCCTGGCTCCAGCAACAGCATCAGCTCCAAATGGCCCTGACAACTAGTCAGGAAAATGTCTCAACCTTTTTCTGCTCAGAGTTGAGTAATAAAGGAAAATCTACTGTGCAGCATGTGGCAAGGCAAGGAGATACAGCAAGGGTGCCTGGCTCCACCTAGTTTTGCCTTAACTGGCCATCTGACCATAGAAGCCATTTCTCTCAGAATTTCATTTCCTCATCTATAAAATGATGCAGTCGCATTGAATGATGATAGCAGGGAACACTGGGGAGGACATAGCTGTGTCTCAGATGCTGTGTTAAAGAATGTAAAGGTATTTCTTCACACCTCACACCAGTCCTTCAAGGTTATTTAAAAACATATGAGAAGATGGAGACATGGGGTTGCTCCTGTGCAGTGCTGTAACTCAGATCCAAACCCAGATTTGCCTGACTTTAAGGCCAATGCTCCTAACCATCACTGTACTGAATGATCTAGAGCAGAGGTTCTTAGTCTGTGGGTTGCAACCCCTTTAGGGGTCACATATCAGATATCTTGCATGTCAGATAGTTACATTATGATTCACAATAGTAGCAAAATTACAGTTATGAAGTAGCAATGAAATAATTTTAGGGTTGGGGTTACCACAACATGAGGAACTATATTAAAGAGTCACAGCGTTAAGAAGATTAGAACCTCTTCTCTAGAAGGTCTTCCTGAAAGAGGGAGCTAAAGAGGCTTAAAAAGAGGGAGAGATTGGTTTCTGCCATGGCAGACAATTTGTAGGTTTGGAATAATAAAAAGTGTGTATAGGGCATGTTGTGGTGACAAATGGTCTCATTGCATATTCATAAAAATTTGTTCTTTCTTTGGTGCATAGTCTTTCTAAGTACCCAAGGTACTCACTATGTACCTCCTCATTGTGTATTTTTAAAAACAATTTTCTATATTGTCTTCAATAAGTCACCCAGGAATATTCATTACTGTATTTCTGATAGGTGCAAAAATTACACCTGTATCCTTCTCTGACTGAATTATGAAAAAATAAAACTTCTATTTCATCAAAACATCTGTTTAATGCAGAAAGAGAGAACTTGACATGAAACACTTTTTTTCCCCACACAGTTTGGTTTTCTTGTTTGTTTGTCTTTTTTTTAAGCCTCCTATTTTTGTGCAACTGGAAATCAGAAGACTCTGACCTCCCCAGTGTTTCATCATGTCACAAACTCAGTCAATTTGAGTTCATTCTACAACCACCACCAGTTGTATTCTGGGAAACTGGCTTTTAGACCAGAAATTGTGCATCTTCGCCAGCAGAGAGCGCAGGCACCATGGTGGGTTCCTGTCTGGATGCTGCCTCTGCTAGCTGTTAGCCAAGCTTCACACACTGTGACCTACACTGCCTTAGACACTTGAAGGCGAACAAAGCAGGGTTTGAGTCCTACCAAATGGCTTGTGATACCATCGATATTTTTTGAGTTCCAGATTCTTCAGTTATAAAAGAGGAAGTGTGTGTGTGGGACATGGTGGGGCACACCTGTGTGATTGCAGCAGACAGGTGTGAGGCAGAGATAAGAGGATCACTGTAAGTTTGAGGCTAGTCTGGTCTACATAGCAAGTTCAAGGCCAGCCAGAGTTACATAGTGAGGCACAATCCGCAGGAGGAAATTACATCCAAAAGAGCAAGGATTGTTTGTTCAAAGATGCTGAGACATGCATCTTAGTAGATTCAACAAACTCCCTTGTGGAAAAGCCTCCAAATGGAGGTCTTGGTAGAAATCATTTATTTGTTCACAGATTAGGGTGTAAGTCTTATTGATCTAATTTCAGAAAAAGGAGCACTCAAGGCCCCAAGTTTTTTCTTCCTCAGCAGGCATTGTTCAGGTGTAGGAAGTTTTGGGTTGTCTGGCTAAATTTAAGCATTGTAGTGGTCTTAAGGAAAATAGCTCCCCCCCCCCAGGCTTGTGTATTTGAATGTCTGGCCCTCAGCTGTTAGACTGTCTAGGAAGGATTAGGGGTGACCTTGTTGAAAGAGGTGTGCCACTGGGAGCAGACTTTGAGTTTTCCCTAAAAATGTCCACTTAGTGACTTGCCATAAGGCAAGCTGTGCCTTCTGAGTGAAGTTTTAGGGAAAAGTCAAAAGACTACACTAGGCCCAGTCTCTCTCTCTGCCTGATGTCTGTGGATCAGAATGTAAGCTTTATGGCTGCCTGCCTGCTGCATGCCTGCTGCCATGCTTCCCACCAAAGACACTCACTCTCTGAACCTGTAAGCAAGCTCCCACTTAAATGACTTTCTTTTTAAGTTGTCTTGGTCATGGTGTCTCTTTACAGTGAATAGTACAGTGACCAAGTCAAACATGGTCATATCTATTGTGTAAGAGATGAAAGTGGATTGGAATGAAGTGCGCATGGTAGCCCAGGAAAGAAGCAGTGTGCAGAGAATTGTAGCTAGATCCCAAAGCCACACCATGGATTAGCTATAATGAAGGAAATAGGATCAAAGAGGAACCTACAGTTTGTCTTACTGGTGCCTAGGAATGTGCAAAGTGCTTCAGGTTCAAGATTGTGACCAGAGCATCATTTGTGACTGAGAGCTTAAAAACAACCATGGTATGTTTCAATGTTGTTAT